GAGATAACATGTCATTTTGACAGCTGCCTACTCCTGACTCAATTATAAGCCCCACACACACAAGACAAGCTTGCTGAATGAAGACAATAGCAGTTATATGAAAGTATCTAGTGACTATATATGTGTATATGTATATATTATAGAAACCAGAAGGAAGGAAGAATGGAAGGCAGGAATGAAGGAAGGACAAGATGAAAGAAAAAAATATCGTAGGTGGATTAATGAAATTGTGTATATTAACGTAATATACGACATTTAATGAGACTCGGTGATTATTATTATCATTACTAATATGACGTCTCGAGATATAAGAGACTTACTGATTTTAATGTGTACCTGCACGCTAGCACAGTATGTAAGTTTATTTAGGTACAGATATACATAAGTATAATTATCAGAGTACAGTGGACCCTCGCCTAATGATGGCATTGCATAACATTAAATCCGCCTGGCGATACATTTTAACGCAAAAATTTTGCCTCGACTAGCGCTAAAAAACTCGCTCAGCGCAATTCATTCGAGACGCGTCCACATGCGGCCTGAGCTTGCCTTACTTGTTCCGTGGGTGCCAGTGTTTACAAGCAAGCCACCGCGGTCACATCCAAGCATACAATCGGAACATTTCATATTATCACAGCTTTTTTAGTGATTGCACCTGCAAAATAAGTCACCATGGGCCCCAAGAAAGCTTCTAGTGCCAACCCTACAGAAAAAAAGGTGAGAATTACTATAGATATGAAGAAAGAGACCATTGTTAAGTATGAAAGTGGAGCGCGTGTCTCCGAGCTGGCCAGGTTGTACACAAACCCCCAATCAACCATCGCTACTATTGTGGCCAAGAAAACGGCAATCAAGGAAGCTGTTCTTGCCAAAGGTGCAACTTTGTTTTCGAAACAGAGATTGCAAGTGATAGAAGATGTTGAGAGACTGTTGTTGGTGTGGATAAATGAAAAACAGATAGCAGGAGACAGCATCTCTCAAGCAATCATATGTGAAAAGGCTAGGAAGTTGCATGACGATTTAATTAGAAAAATGCCTGCAACTAGTGATGATGCGAGTGAATTTAAAGCCAGCAAAAGTTGGTTTGAGAGATTTAAGAATCATAGTGGCATACATAGTGTGATAAGGCATGGTGAGGCTGCCAGTTCGGACCACAAAGAGGCTGAAAAATACGTGCAGGAATTCATTAAGTACATAGACAGTGAAGGACTGAAACCTGAGCAAGTGTTTAATTGCGACGAAACAGGCCTGTTTTGGAAGAAAATGCCAAGCAGGACCTACATTACTCAGGAGGAAAAGGCACTCCCAGGACGTAAGCCTATAAAAGACAGGCTTACTGTTGTGTGCTAATGCTAGTGATGATTGCGAAGTGAAGCCTTTATTGGTGTATCACTCTGAAACTCCCAGTGTGATCAGGAAAGACAATGTCCTCAAGGCTAATATGTGTATGCTGTGGAGGACAAACAGTAAGGCATGGGTCACTAGGGACTTTTTCTATGACTGGTTACACCATGCATTTGCCCCCACTGTGAAAAATTACCTCCTGGAAAATAAATTGAACCTTAAGTGCCTCATGGTATTAGACAATGCTCCTGGTCATCCTTCAGATTTGGCAGAGCGACTTTCTGCGGAAATGAGCTTCATTAAGGTCAAGTTTTTGCCTCCTAATACCACTCCTCTCCTGCAACCCATGGACCAGCAGTCATTGCAAAATTCAAAAAACTCTACACAAAAACTGTTTGAAAGGTGCTTTGTAATGACCTCAGAAACTCAATTGACTCTAAGAGAGTTTTGGAGAGATCACTTTAGCATACTCAATTGTGTAAACATTATAGGTAAGGCTTGGGAGGAAGTGACTAAAAGGACCTTGAACTCTGCTTGGAAGAAACTGTGGCCAGAATGTGTAGACAAAAGGGATTTTGAAGGATTTGAGGCTAACCCTGAGAAGCCTACGCCAGTTGTGCAATCAATTGTGGCATTGGGGAAGTCCTTGGGGTTGGAGGTTAGTGGGGAGGATGTGGAAGAGTTGGTGGAGGAGGACAATGATGAACTAACCACTGATGAGCTGCTAGATCATCTTCAACAGCAAGAGGCCAGACCTGAGGAAACTGCTCCGGAGGAGGGGATAGAGAAATTGAGGAAGTTGCCTACTTCAAAGATTAAGGAAATATGTGCAATGTGGCTTAAAGTGCAAACCTTTTTTGATGAAAATCACCCCCCCTGACACAGCTATTGCAAGCCGTGCTGGTGACTATTACACTGACAATGTTGTGAAACATGTTAGGAATGTCATAAAGGAACAAGAGGTACAGGCCTCTATGGACAGATATGTTGTGCGACAGAGGTCCAGTGACTCTCAAGCTGGTCCTAGTGGCATTAAAAGAAGAAGGGAAGTAACCCCAGAAAAGGACTTGCAACCTCAAGTCCTAATGGAAGGGAATTCCCCTTCTAAACATTAACACCATCCACACACTCCCCTCCTCCCATCTCATCAATCATCACCAGATCTTCAATAAAGGAAAGTGTTATGTAACTGTGCACGTCCTCTTCAGTTTGTGTGTATTAAAATTAATATTTCACGTGGTAAAAAATTTTTTTTTCATACTTTGGGGTGTCAGGAACAGATTAATTTGATTTCCATTATTTCTCATGGGGAAAATTAATTCGGCTAACGATAATTTCGCCTAACGTTGAGCTCTCAGGAACAGATTAATATCGTTAGGCTAGGGTCCACTGTATATATAAAATATGAAATAACTTTTAAAAACACTTGAAATTTCAGAGTTTCTGGACAAAATGGAGAGACTTAGTGCTTACGGATCTCATAGAGATTGTAAACAAACTGGGTGGGGGCGCGGCGACCGTATTAGAAAGTCAGGTGGGAGGAGCCATATAGTGAGTTTTGGTCATAATTTGAAATGACCGTATTAGCGGAACGCCGTAAAGCAAAACGGCGTAAAGCGGGGCCCTACTGTAACATTTTCACGGCTTCACGCCGTAGTTATATTACTCTTGCTTTCCATTTTGAATTTTTATTCACACAAAAAATGAAAGATTTACTGTTATGTTGACTACTGCAGTATTGTAATAATTGTATAAATTATGTCAACCCATTCTTGACTGTGTATAAGAATGGCTAGTTGGGCACTTATTGAACGATGATGTCATTTGTTTACTCTTGAACATCGGCAAAAATCGAACGTTTCTGCTACTTTGAACTCAATTTCAAGGTCCTTTTCCTAATGAAACCAATCAAAATCATCTCTATTTCTGTAATATGTCTTCCATTCTATCAAATGAGACCAAGAAAACTAGAATACAACCATAAATACTATACGAAAATACACCTCATATTTGGCATTTTAATCCAAAAACACGGTCGGAGTTGTTTTTTTCTCATTATGCACTGCGTGCTACAGGTTTTTTTTATACTGAGCAAACTGACTACACAGACCCATTCTCTCACATGTGGGCCTACCAGCTTTCTCCTGCTCGATTTGAAGCCGCTAGAATTTTGGCATATTAATACGTCACCAACACTGGCTCGTAAGACATACATATACGACACCAACAGTTAATAGGATAACCCTTTCAGCATCGAGACCCTGCTTGTAAACGTGCTACCAGGGTCGAAGAAATTTGAATGGAAAAAATTGTTTTATCTTACGAAATGATAGGGAATATTTTTCCGAAGGTGATGAAACCAAAATTATAAAATTTGATGGAAAACTTATGGAATTATGCTCTCACAAAGTTAGCGATCTCAGCAAGTTTGCCCACTTTATACTCTATTTTTGGCCACTTCCACTGTTCCAGCCAAACAAACTCAAAGCTATTTTATTACTATGCCTTCTATTCTATCAAATGAGTACAAGAAACTGCCCATTTAAACTACACAATAAAGTTATCAGAAATTGGTAATTTGGCCAATATCACACAAAATTCAACAATTGCCAATTTGAAAATAGGGTCCAGAATAAACAATGTAGACATTTCTGGCACTAAATAAACATTTACTTTGCTCCTTAGTCATGTCTCCAGGCCCCTCTTATACTATTATGCTTGCCTTTTATTTTGAATTTTTGTTCACACAAAAAATAGAAAATTTACTTTTTTTTTATTGCAATAATTGTATAAATAATGTTAGTGCATTCCTAAATGTGTGTTAGACTGGCCAGTTGGACGCATACTTGACAAGTGACGTTATTTGTGTATTCTGGAATACAGTGGACCCCCGGTTAACGATATTTTTTCACTCCAGAAGTATGTTCAGGTGCCAGTACTGACCGAATTTGTTCCCATAAGGAATATTGTGAAGTAGATTAGTCCATTTCAGACCCCCAAACATACATGTACAAACGCACTTACATAAATACACTTACATAATTGGTCGCATTCGGAGGTAATCGTTATGCGGGGGTCCACTGTATTGGCAAAAATCACACATTCTGCTACTTTGAGTTTAGTTTCAAGCTACTTTCGGTCCTGAAACTAATCAAATTCATCTCTACTTCTGTAACATATCTTCCATTCTATCAAACGAGACCAAGAAATTGAGAATACAACCATGAAAACCATACAAAAATACATCTTGCAAAGTCATTGTTTAAACCAAAAACACGGCCACAGTTTTTGTCATAATGCATTGCATGCTGAAGGATATTTTTTTTATATGGGACACACCACACAGACCCATTCCCTCATATCTAGGCTCCAATTTACCACTCACAGTTTATCTGAGTGAGCCGAGTTCATGGTCTCATACTACAGGACCAACAGCGGCTTCGAAACCGATACAACTGGACTGACACTGCAGCTGGAGACAATTCTATACCTTTGAAGGCTTTCGAGAGGTTTCCTACTCTCGCAGCCCAGTCCTGGGTCAGTCTGGCAATTTTAGTTGATAAACAATGTTGACATTAGCAAATCTCTAAGGATACTGGCAATTAATCTAAATGGAAGGAAGCTAGCTGCAAACATTTAAAAACTATAACTCAAACCTCATCAGAGTAGACAGGGTCATTAGCCATAGCTTGGTGATAGCGAGCCATGTATGGTTCAAGACGGCGCTGTATTTGATTGTACTGGTCTAAAACTTCCACCATTACAGCACACCGAGGGTGTTCTAGTCGTACATTTCCTAGCCCTCCATCATTACTTGCTCCATCTGTTAATATTAAAAGAATAAAATTGATAATCATTTCAAGTACATAATGCATATTGTTTCTGAAAACAAAATAAAGATCATATTAGAATTGAAAAAGGCCAAAAATACAATGAAAGTGTTAATTAAAAATTAAAAAATACAGTGAAACTTCTGTAACTGATACATCCTTATTCGTTACATCAATCTTTTGTGTAAGAGATCACCTGTGAAAGATTCAGCTTACCACACTATCAGTGGATATTCAAGAGACAGTTTACCCCCTCTCACAGTAAACCTTGTGATAGTGTGAAAGTAAATTGTAAAGGATTTATCAGTTTATTTTAGTTGTTAAACAATTAAAAGTATTTCTTTTCCATCTCCATACAGGAGTAGGAAGAGTTGATAATGAAAATTAATCTGACCATGCAGATCATTCACCACTCTTGGCAATAAAAACACCCACACACACTTACCCACAATCACAACCACACCCCCACACAGTCTCAGAGTGGTCAGGAAATAAAATGATCTTGGTGAGGACATGGGGGAAGGCAGACTATACATTGTTAACAGCAAGTATGATGGGGACCATGAGGCTAAGAGGGAGTGAATCTCAACAGTGGCAAGTTAAAAGGTAGGACCAGGATCTGAAAATCGACCCCTGCAACCACAAATATGCGAGTACATATGTATACAAGCATGCACGCACACTTACACACATGTAAGCACATACACACAGCTATTCCATCTTTAGGGACACTAACAAACCCATAAGCAATACAGGATAGACATGTACAAATATTTTTTATTGCTAGAATAAGTGGGAAGACAAGTAAAAAACTCGTAGGTTAGGCCTAAAGAGTGCAATGCTCTCAGAGATAAACACCCAATACATACACACAAAAGCATGAGCACACACACACTCACTGCTGGGACACTTGAAGACAAACCGGAATAAGACACCTGCAAATACTAAGTGCATGTGTGTGTACACACACGTGCAAACATACATGAACACATGTGCACAAACTGATGCACACACACACCCCACACCCACTCATGCATACATTCGCACACACATGCACATCCATGCATGCACACTCACATGCACACATGTATGCATTGGCATGCATATATGCACACATTATTATTATTATAATTAGAAAGAAGCCCTAAACCACAAGGGTTATACAGCACAGCAGGGCAGGGAAGGATGCAGGGGTAATGGGTATTAAGAGGAAAAGGGATGATTATTAGGTTATGAAGTGTTGCAGGGCAGTGGACAGTGCAGGAGATGAGGGTAGCTAGAGATTAAGGTGGAAAGGGATGAGCAGAGTGCCAGAGACATTGTAAGAGTGTGTGTAGTAAATTAGTTGCTGTCAAAAAGACAATGAGAGTGTCTGGATTAAAGGAGGGACTGTCACCACGAAGGGAAGGTAAGGAAAGAACAGCAGAGCGGAGACGACGTTGAAGGTAAATTCTGCGTGCTCGTTGATAGAGTGGGCAGTCCAACAGAATGTGGCTAACAGATACTGGAACTTGACAATTCTCAGAGAGGGGAACAGGATGCCTCTCCATGAGATACCCGTGAGTAAGACTAGTGAGGCCGTTGAGAAGACGGGAGAGAGTAGTCTGCCAACCTCAACACCGATGACAAGACGGCCAAAAACCCATACTCGGCTTAACAGAATGAAGTTTGTTATGGAGCAGATCAGACCAACGTTGTTACCAATGGATGCGAAGATGGGTAGCAATTACAGCAAAATAGTTCATGAATGGAACACCTCTATATGAAACTGGGAGGTCATGTACTGCTGACTGCACAGCAGTGTCTGCCTGTTCATTGCCCTGTACATCAACATGACCAGGGACCCAGCAAAAAACAATATCTCTGTGTCTGCTAGAGATACGGCGTAACCAAAGTTGGATACGAAGAACTAGGGAGTGAGGTGTATCAAATTTCCGTATAGCCTGTAAAGCACTAAGGGAGTCTGAAATGATCACAAATGGTGACACAGGCACAGATGCAATACGGGTAATTGCTACAAGAATGGCATACAATTCAGCCGTAAAAATGCTAGACAAGGGTAATAAATGCCCTCGCACGACACTGTCCGGAAACACTGCTGTGAATCCAATGCCATCAGAAGACTTAGAACCATCAATGTACACTGCAATAGCATGAGAATGAGAGTGGAAGTGTTCAAGAAAAAGAGAGTGGGAAGCCACCGTAGGTAGTTGGGCTTTCGCGTATGGCAGTGAGAAAGAACAAACACGAATAGCTGGAACTTCTCAAGGGGGCAGGGAAAAGTGAGAGGCTACATGAACATAAAAGAGTTAGTAACTGTAGAGAAGACAAGAGCAAATGTAAACAGAGAGAAAAGGGACGGAGTAAACGCGCGACGAACAAAATAAAGAACGTTTACTAACATCAGTGACTACCCTATACATGGAAGGATTGTAGAGGTCATGGGATCGAACATAATAGCGAAAGCAATGAGCATCACAGCGATCAGACAAGGAAGGAAAATTCGCCTCTCTAAAGAGGCTCTCAACAGGGGATGAACTTAAGGCACCAAGGCACAGGTGGAGACCTTGGTGATGAATAGGATCTAACTCAGATAGAGTTGCAGGAGAAGCTGCAGAATAGATCTGGTCACCATAATCTAGCTTGGACAAGACTAGGGTGCAATGCAAACAGAGGAGAATGCAAAGATCTGCTCCCCATGAACTATGTGCAAGAACCTTAAGGAGGTTTAGCTGACTATGGCAAGTTGTCTTTAACGATGAAATAAGAGGTCTCCACATCAGCTGGCGGTCAAAGAGCATGTCCAGAAATCTGACTATCACATGTCGGAATACGTGAACCGTGTAAGTACAAGGGAGTACCCGGCAAAAGCGGGCATCTAGTGAAGGTAATGAATCGGGTTTTCATACTGGAAAATTTAAAGCCATGAGAAGTGGTCCAATAGGAGACTCGGTCTATCACTACCTGAAGGGCAGCCGCTACCAGTCGACAGTCAGTGCCCAAGTAAGCCATAGCAAAGTCATCAGCATAAAGTGATGACCAAATATGTGAAGAAAGAATGGAAGGTAGATCATTTATAGCTAAGAGAAAATTAGTAGTACTGAGGACACAACCTTGTGAGACTCCTTCGGCTTGTACAAAGTCTGAAGTACGTGAGGCACCAATAGAGACCCGAAAATGTCTATCGGACAAGAGAGCAGCGATGAAGTTTGGTAGATTACCACGGAGGCCTAAGGAGTGGGCTTGAGCTAGAATGTTATACCTCCAAGTGGTGTCATATGCCTTCTCTAGATCGAAAAAGACTACTAGGACAGAATGATTAACAAAAGGCATTTTCGAATACATGTATCAAAGTGGAGCAGGGTGGTCTAAAGTAGAGCAGCCTTTACGAAAGCCATATTGGCAAGGGTAAAGGCTACTGTGTCTCTAAGAACCACATCAGACATCTATTCGCCAATCGTTCCATCACCTTGCAGACCACACTGGTCAGGGCAATGGGACGATAGTGAGAGGTGTCAATCCCTGAGGCACCAGGTTTGCGAAACGGTAGTACAATAGCTGATTCCCAGTGTTGTGGGAGAACCCTTCACTCCCAAATTAGATTGAAAAGACGAAAAAGAACAGGAAGGGCCGTAGAATGGAGATGGTGTAGGATACTGATGTGGATATTGTCAGGGCCTGGTGCTGATCACAGGCACATGGGAAGAGTGGACTCCAGTTCTTGAAGAGTTAAAGGTACGTTATATGGCTCCAATCCACTGGAGGACAAATATAAGGGCAATTGCTCTCTGGTAGGTTTAGACACAAGAAATGAGGGACAGAGGTAAAGCACTCGGGAGATACAGACAAGATAGTTCCCAATTTCTGTGGGAACTTCCAAAGGTTCTGCAACATCAACTCCAGCAACCCGTTAAACAGGAGCTGGGTCCGGAGGGTGCTTACCACACAATTTCCACACCTTTTTCCAAATCGTGCACGTAGGGGAAGACGAGGTAATGCAAGACACAGTCTCACCAACAAGTGTGTTTAGCGTCACACGTGATGCAGCGAGCAGCTGCCCTTGCATGCTTAACCCTTTGATTGTTTTGGTCATGTATATACGTCTCACGAGCCAATGTGTTTGACGTATATATAAAATCCTGTAGCACGTAGTGCATGAGAAAAAAAATTCCGACCGTGTTTTTGGATTAACCCTTTGACTGTTTACGTTACGCCATATATATACGCACCACTGTTTCTGACGAATTTATACGCATAAATTCTAGAGGCTTCAAATCAAACAGGAGAAAGCTGGTAGGCCCACATGTGAGAGAATGGGTCTCCATGGTCAGTGTGCACCATATAAAAAAAATCGGGGAGCCAGTGGTGCATTGTGGGAATGCCATTACAGTTGTCCTTTTTCAGCATGCTTAGCGGTAAGAAATATGTGACTCCCAAGTAAATCTGGGACTCTTCTCTTCCCAAGTGATGCTCTAACACAGATGGAAGTGTCAGTGAAGATCAATATCATGATTTTGAGGAGTTTGAGACCAAAAGCAATGGAGGAGGAGGAAGAAGAAGAGGAAGAAGAGGAAGAAGAAAAAGAAGAAAAAAAAGAAAAAGAAGAAGAAAAAAGTAGAAGAAGAAGAAAAAGAAGAAGAAAAAGAAGAAAAAGAAGAAAAAGAAGAAAAATAAAAAAAAGAAGAAAAATAAAAAAAATAAAAATAAAAAAAGAAAATAAAAAAAAGAAGAAAAATAAAAAAAAAGAAAAAGAAGAAGTAAAAGAAGAAGAAGAAGAAGTAAAAGAAGAAGAAGAAAAAGAAGAAGTAAAAGAAGAAGTAAGAAGAAGAAGTAAGAAGAAGTACAAAGTAAGAAGTAAGAAGTAAGAAGAAGAAGAAGAAGAAGAAGAAGAAGAAGAAATAATAATATTGTTCCCTTGAAGCAAGAAAAAAAAAAAGTCCACCCCATGACAGTGACAAGATAACGGGAGATAACATCTGATAAGAGCTGAACT